TCATGTTCTCTGATGAAAGTAAATTTTGCATTTCCTTTGGAAATCAAGGTCCCAGAGTCTGGAGGAAAAGAAGAGAGGCACTTCATCCACGTTGCTTGAAGTCCAGTGTAAAGTTTCCACAGTCAGTGATGGTTTGGGGTGCCATGTCATCTGCTGGTGTTGGTCCATTGTGTTTTCTGAGGTCCAGGGTCAACGCAGCCACATACCAGGAAGTTTTAGAGCACTTCATGCTTCCTGCAGCTGACCAACTTTTTGGAGATGCAGATTTCATTTTCCAACAGGACTTGGCACCTGCACACAGTGCCAAAGCTACCAGTACCTGGTTGAAGGACCATGGTATCCCTGTTCTTAATTGGCCAGCAAACTCTCCTGACCTTAACCCCATAGAAAATCTATGGGGTATTGTGAAGAAGAAGATGCAATACACCAGACCCAACAATTCAGAAGAGCTAAAAGCCACTATTAGAGCAACCTGGGCTATCATAACACCTGAGCAGTGCCGCAGACTGATCGACTCCATGCCACGCCGCATTGCTGCAGTAATACAGGCCAAAGGAGGCCCAACTAAATACTGAGTGCTGTACATGCTCATACTTTTCATGTTCATACTTTTCAGTTGGCCAACATTTCTATAAATCCTTTGTTTTTATTGGTCTTCAGTAATATTCTAATTTTCTGATATGATGAATTTGAGATTTTCATTTGTTGTCATTTGTAATCATCAAAATTAAACAAAATAAACATCTGAAATATATGAGTTTGTATGTAATGTATGAATATAATATACAAGTTTCACTTTTTAAATGGAATTACTGAAATCAATCTACTTTTTCATGATATTCTAATTTTATGACCAGCACCTGTATATCAGGAGCTTTGGCAGCAAATTTCAGTTTATAAAGTGAGAATTGATTTGGTTCCTTTTTTCGTATCAGCAGGAGGAAATAGGGAGAAATGTTGTGTGAGTTTTATATCCTGAAGAATTAACAAACGCCCAACCTTAAGATCTAAAAGCACATAATCCCTGTATTTAATCTTGGTCATGTAAACCACAAAAACATTTTCAGAATTCAGAAAGACATTTAAATGCACCAGCACATTCCTACTAATGATTTTGTGAAAAGAATAGCCTACATTACTCCATTGAATAATTAACTGCTGATGCAAGTGTAACAGGCCTTAGTGGTCCAGTGTGTCAGGAGATAAACTTAATTAAGTTAAGAACAGAGAAAATTGTAAGGTCAGCAACAAGTGGTGTGTTTTCGCCTTTCTTTCTAGCTGGTCAAGTACAGAAAGCTCTAAACCAGAGGTTCCCAAAATTTGCAGGTTCTGACTCACATAAGTGTACTAGAGCCGTCTCATGGCACAATCCCCTGGTTTAGCATACCAAATTTATCACAAAATCAATTAACCAGTGGTGTAAAATTCTTACAAACAACATCAACAACCAAAGTAGGTTTCATCCATTTTCAAATTATGCTTTTAGACATAAGCACTTTAACGTAAATGTTTATTGCATAGTTTAATTTCTATAGAGAATCTTAAGACCCCAGTCTGGGTGATTGTGGGGTCATAACCCCAGCTGAGGGAATCGATGACCTCCAGTCAACAGTAAGAACACTATTCTGTGTAGTAAAAGAACTCCGGATTGCTGTGCTGAATCTGGACAGCCTTAGCCCTTCCGGACGTTATTACGGGACAGAACCATTTATGGATGATGCTTGTCAAATTGCTTCTACATCCTTACAGAATGATATGGATGAAGCCTAAAACAAATTATGTTTTGTAAATTTTCAGGTACAAACTCATAAATAAAAAAGGTTTTGTTGTTCAACTCCGTGAGTTGGGTTGTGCCTATACAGTTGCCCAAAATCTCAAAGGATTGTGGGCATATGTATAGCTCCTAGGCAGCATAGGAAGTAGGTCCTTATGCTAAATATACTATCGAAAGGAAGCAACCTGCTTCATTTTTCTACCTCCTTCCTTACTGCCTGAGTTTTAGGACGGCCCTTATTATGGTGACTGCTGATGCACTTTTACTTGGCTTAAGTGCATTTACTGATTTGCCTGATTTGAATAGGGCTAATGCTCTAAACCAAAGCTTCCCAAATTGTTCAGCCTCTGACCTAAAAATGGTACTAGTGTCAACAGATGACCCAAACTATTGGTTGAATATACAAATACTTCTTCAAAATAAATTAACCACTGAATCAAACACAAGGAAAACCAACAACTAACATATTTGGTTTTGCCTGTTTGAGCACTTTAAGCACTTTGACAACAATGTTTATTGTTTAGTTTAATAGTGGATATCAAGATGCCAAACTGGTTGATCAAGGATCCCATATATGGTCACGACCCAAACATTGGGAATCAGTGCTCTAACACAGTGATTCCCTCGTACCCCTATTGGTCCACGGGTGCATTGCAACGGATAATTGAAAATATTTAATTTCTTAGTTAGTAAAACCTAATAGAGCTGGGGTCTGTTTTGTTTTGTGAGGACCCAATTAAAAAATAAAACCAGCCTTTATTCAAACAAAAAGTAAGTTTTTTTTTTTTTTTAGTTCACCTTCAGCTGTGACACATCAAAACCAAGCAGATGAACAGACTGGATGTAGAAAACAGCCTGAGATCAGCTGTTTTTCACACTGGGCTGTCAGAGCTCATCAAAGCAGCTCAGGTGTCTTGATGAAAACAAAGTAAAACTAATTAAGTCAGTCTGACTATAATTTTAGTTCTGTTTTGTTCCCAATTCCTCAAGTTTAAATGTGATTATTATAAGGGAGTTACAAAGAGGAACTCCAGTTTTATAAACACAAGTTTATAATATGATTTTATTTTTTATTTATTTTGATTGCTTACTATCATCCAGGCAACATATTTACTTTGTTTTTTACTTGAAATTAAATGCTCAGATTAGAAGATTTTGTGGAATAGTTTTTATGTCATAATCAGTTCTTATATATTCCACTTGTGGACACTCATCAATAGTTTTGACTGAGAGGGGTAGCAATGGTGACACAAAATGCCCAAAGGGACACAAGTCAAAAAAGGTTGGAAAACACTGCTCTACCATGCAGGATAACGCTGATGTACTGTACCCTCCAGTGGAATTAATCGGTACTACACAGTCAGTTTAGTCACAGTCACTTGAGGAAAAGCAAAACTGCACCTATTAATTTAGGGTTTTTTTTTTTCAAAGTTGAAAAATATTGCTACATAAGTTAAAAAATGCAGTATATAGCAAACATGTGATAAAACAATAATGTATGTCACATGAGAAAATAGCTCCTGGCATTGGAACTCTAGCATTCAGGAGGTCAGCTCATTCTATAAACAAATTTAAAGAAGGTTAAAGGTGTGGTACTGATGGGGGAGTTACTTGGAAAAAATAGATAAGATGCAAAAAAAAAGTTGTAGATGCAGCATAATGGGGTGGTACTCTATGGCCGTACAATTGTAGCAAAGGTGGGCTTGGGGTGCAGCGATTCCTCCCAGGGCTAAGTTGACCTTGTGGTCTCAAACTGTGGGTTACCTGTGGTGGTGTTTATTTATAATTTGTGCAGTAATCAAACACAAATCAACACAAAGATTGTTTTGTATATGTGTAGATTCAGTTGTTGATAGGCTTAAGGTCCCAACAAGTTAATTTCTAAGCAATAAAAATAAAAAAATACCTTTTTATCTGCTGTGCTGGAGAAGACAAGACTTTTTACTTGTTTTATGCAAATTTCAAGGACTCGTTTTGATAAATCCGATCCAAGTTTTGTTTTTCTCTGGTCCAAGTTTAAACCCTTTTATAAAAGAAAACCTTTTATAAATTGTAAAAAAATATGTTTAAAAAAAGATAAAAAGAACATGCCCCACAGGGTTTTTGTTGTTTTTTTTAGGCTACGGGCTTGGATGAACTTTGTGAGCCACATGAAAGCAATGAATGTGTATTCTGTGTAGACATCGTCCCCACCAGAACAGTAAGATGGCACACCCCCACCACGGACTGTTCTCTCTGCTGCCCTCTGGGAAGAGACTTCGAAGCATTGGATGCAGGTCCAGCAGTTTCCACAACAGTTTCCTCCCAACTACCATTAGACTGCTGAATGTTATGTTAAATGGGTTATTTTACTGTATTTTATTATATTTATTATATTTTATAATAAAAAATGAAATTTTAGAACTGTAAATATTCAGTCATATGTTTAAATTACTATTTTCATGTGTTTTTACTGTTTTCAAGGCTCCACTTAAAAAAAAAAATGAAATTGTCTAGAGAGCTGTTCTTAACCAAATGACAAAATAAATCTGTCTAAATCTGTCCAAGTCTCTAAGTCTAGTAATGCTGCTATAGGCTTAGACTGCTGGAGGACATAGGGACCCTATTTCATCATTCTGCATCAATTTATCTCTGTTCTCCCACTCTGCAGAATTTGTTAGTTCAATCTCTAACACTATGCTCTGCTTTTTTTCCTAGTAGCTTCATCTGGTCTGTTCCTGTTTGCCGTGACACCATCCTGGAGAGAAATATCAGCTGTGCTGCTGACATCAGCGCCTTTGTTTATAGATGCTGGAGTTGTCCAGAGCCTGTTTTTTCCTCTACGCTGTTGCTACAAGTATGCTTGGTGTGAGGGACTGCCTTCAAGTATATCTGTCCATGCAATCAACTGGTTTTCCTTAGATAGAAAACTTCAATCTGACTTGTTAATCTGGAAGAAATGTCTCTGTAAAGTGCCTTGAGATGAAGTGTTGTGAACTGCGCCATATGGATAAACTGAATTGAATTCAAATATATGCAGAATTTTTTTATTCTTTATTTGTCATTACACATTTAATTCTGGCATCCCAACATTCTCAATATAAACAATATGGGAAGAGTAAAGTAATGATTAACAAAAAAAAAATTCTAACATCATTTTACTGTGATAGTCAGTGAATGTGGCATTTGTAATTTCCTTTGAAGGGAAATTGAGTTTTATTTTGAAAGTTAGCGGAAGTAGTATATGAGCGCCGCACTGCAGACTTGACGATGACGTAGTGAAACAGTTGGAAAAGTACCGCAGGCTGCAGCTTAGCAGGAGAACTGTGAGAGAGAAAGTTGAAGCGGAGTTCTGTGAATGAAGATGGACTCTGCAGAGGTGGAGATAGACGGCAGCGTTATGGAGGGAGTGAGTATTTACCTTTTCTAATAAAGAAACGAAGGGAAAACAGCTGAGGACCCTCCTCCGCGCTGATAATAACAGGCTAACAGAGAGCTAACGGTTAGCAGCTGCCTCGCAGCTCTCTGATGCGGCTCCTGATTCACCCCGGTGTCGGTTCTCCGCAGGGCGGACAGATCTTGAGAGTCTCAGCGGCACTCAGCTGCATCACTGGCTCCGCGATAAAGATCACCAAGATCCGGGCTGGCAGGAGCACCCCGGGACTAAGGTGGGTCAGCAGCTAACAGGCTAACATTAGCCTATTCATTAAAGTTGGTTCACTCAGTTTTAAATGAACAAAAAGCTGACAAAAATGGTTATTTTGTTTATGTTATTTTGTCCTAGCTCAGTTTAAACCTATATTAGATTTTTTTTGGACGCTTCTGATTTTAAGCTTAAATAGATTCAGGACCAGTATCTCCAAACACAGATCAGACTTCATTAAAAATTCTGCATGAATAAGAATATTAATGAGCATCTTAAGCATCACTGAATCAGCCTGCCAGCCAATAGGAACGTACAGTTTCATCTGAGTGTAATAAAGCCATTCCCATTATTCACTTTTCTGTGCAGCTTCCATTTTTTCCAGAAACATCTGCTCATTATCAATCCATCATCAGTTACCTTGTCAGTGGCCAGTTCTATAAAAAGAAGCTCTCCTTTACCTTAACCAGGTCTGATGTTTTCAAAAAGGGTTTTGGAAAACCTTTACAGATTTTGGCTTTTTAGATAAGCCCTCAGTAGATAAAGGTGGGACTTAATTAAATTTTAAAAACAGGTTATAAGTATGTTTACAAAAGGCAATTTTTTATATTGCCACCTTGAATGGTTAACATATTGTGAAATAAATTATTATACCTATTTCTTTGTTTATTTTGACTTTTATTAAACTGCTTTCAGTGTTTAGTGCAAATAAATATTTAATTTTTTCCCCCATCAAAATCAAATCTTTATTGTTGTCATTGTCACAAAGAACAACGAAATTTTTAAAAAAGTGCCATCAATCGATCAGTGCATATGCTTAAATCAACTTGATATTCAAACTAGCTCCCACCCTTTTAAACCCTGTGCACAAAGGAATTGCATGCACAAATGCCATTGGCTGTTAAATATCCCACAAGCTTCTTATTTATTGCAATTAAAAGCTAAGATCTTTTGTGCTTCTGAAGATATGTGTAAAAACTCTGTAAGTTTACACGACTTGAGCTGTGTAACCTCAAAAATATCCCAAAAAAATCTTTCATTTGCATAAAATTTTTTTTTTTTTTTTAGTATTCAATTTCATGGGTATACAGGTGCTGGTCATAAAATTAGAATATCATGAAAAAGTAGATTGATTTCAGTAATTCCATTTAAAAAGTGAAACTTGTATATTATATTCATACATTACATACAAACTCATATATTTCAGATGTTTATTTTGTTTAATTTTGATGATTACAAATGACAACAAATGAAAATCTCAAATTCATCATATCAGAAAATTAGAATATTGTGAAAAGGTTCAAAATTGATGGCCCCTGGTGCCACACTCTAATCAGCTAATTAACTCAAACCACCTGCAAAAGCCTTTAAATGGTCTTTCAGTCTAGTTCTATAGGCTACACAATCATGGGGAAGACTGCTGACTTGACAGTTGTCCAAAAGACGACCATCGACACCTTGCACAAGGAGGGCAAGACACAAAAGGTCATCGCTAAAGAGGCTGGCTGTTCACAGAGCTCAGTGGCCAAGCACATTAATAGAGAGGCGAAGGGAAGGAAAAGATGTGGTCGAAAAAAGTGTACAAGCAAGAGAGATAACCGCACCCTGGAGAGGATTGTGAAACAAAACCCCTTCAAAAATGTGGGGGAGATTCACAAAGAGTGGACTGCAGCTGGAGTGAGTGCTTCAAGAACCACCACACACAGACGTATGAAAGACATGGGTTTCTGCTGTCGCATTCCTTGTGTCAAGCCACTCTTGAACCACAGACAGCGTCAGAAGCGTCTTGCCTGGGCTAAAGAGAAACAGGACTGGACTGCTGGTGAGTGGTCCAAAGTCATGTTCTCTGATGAAAGTAAATTTTGCATTTCCTTTGGAAATCAAGGTCCCAGAGTCTGGAGGAAAAGAAGAGAGGCACTTCATCCACGTTGCTTGAAGTCCAGTGTAAAGTTTCCACAGTCAGTGATGGTTTGTGGTGCCATGTCATCTGCTGGTGTTGGTCCATTGTGTTTTCTGAGGTCCAGGGTCAACGCAGCCACATACCAGGAAGTTTTAGAGCACTTCATGCTTCCTGCAGCTGACCAACTTTTTGGAGATGCAGATTTCATTTTCCAACAGGACTTGGCACCTGCACACAGTGCCAAAGCTACCAGTACCTGGTTGAAGGACCATGGTATCCCTGTTCTTAATTGGCCAGCAAACTCTCCTGACCTTAACCCCATAGAAAATCTATGGGGTATTGTGAAGAAGAAGATGCAATACACCAGACCCAACAATTCAGAAGAGCTAAAAGCCACTATTAGAGCAACCTGGGCTATCATAACACCTGAGCAGTGCCACAGACTGATCGACTCCATGCCACGCCGCATTGCTGCAGTAATACAGGCCAAAGGAGGCCCAACTAAATACTGAGTGCTGTACATGCTCATACTTTTCATGTTCATACTTTTCAGTTGGCCAACATTTCTATAAATCCTTTGTTTTTATTGGTCTTCAGTAATATTCTAATTTTCTGATATGATGAATTTGAGATTTTCATTTGTTGTCATTTGTAATCATCAAAATTAAACAAAATAAACATCTGAAATATATGAGTTTGTATGTAATGTATGAATATAATATACAAGTTTCACTTTTTAAATGGAATTACTGAAATCAATCTACTTTTTCATGATATTCTAATTTTATGACCAGCACCTGTAATTCATATTGGACCTCTCGCACTCGTAACACTTATTGTACATATTGTGGAGATAACTGTATACATTTCAGATCTCCAGTCATAAGTATTGTGAAACTGACCCTTTTTGTATGCTAAAGCTCCATTTGGCACGATTGATCAAAGTAGGACCAAACGTGCCAAAAATGAATTATTTGAATTTCATGACTACTTTGGCCATAAGCAGTTACATTTTTAGATGTGGCTTTAGAGAAAATTTCATTAAAAGCACTTTTAAAAATATTATTAAAACAAAATCTTATGGGAAACGCAACTGGATATTAATTTTCTGCAAAGTGTTATGGACAACACAGCCCCTTTATGCCAGAATAGGACATATTTTGGAATGGAAGAAGATGGAAACAAAGTAAGAACTGAAAATTATGATTCATTTGATGAAATGTTATTGATTATTGGTTCACTTTCAAGTTCATGGTTGTTGTTTTTTTACAATTGCCTGATTCTAAAGAGATTGGATTTTGTTTAGAAATAAACTTGCTGTAAGATATGGAACAAAATGTGATGTCAAAACAGCCTGCGGTCGTAGCTAAAGGGTTAATATAAAAACTCAACAGTTTTATTGTATTGTATTTTATTGTGCAGATGTATTGTAATTGTTTTGTCTAATATCATTGAAAATATCTGGCAAATATCACAAACCAGATTGTAGAAATGCTATTAAGGCCCATTTAAACAGGGTTTCTCTTTTCAAAGTATAAAAACAGAATTAAGTATTCGGTTAATCTACAGAATTAATTTTAGATGAATATAAAGAGTGTTACTCTTAAAACACACCCAAAAAAAAAAAAAACTTAAACAAGTGTTTGAACCTCTGAAAACACAGTTCATGAAATTTTATAAACGGTACATTACATTTCATTTTTTTTTGTGAAAGTAGAAAAAACATGGTTTATTTCTTTTTTTTTTAGGATTAATGGCAAAATAGAAACAAGGTTCTGAGAATAAGGTAAATTAAATCCTTTTTATGTTCATGAACAATTAGGAAAAGTAATTCTCTCACTTATGAAATGCTTAATTTCAAAAATCTTGAAATTCTTTCATATGGCCTAAAATTTTTTATGACATCGGGTGATTTTACATTTTTATATATATATATATATATATATATATATATATATATATATATATATATATATATATATAATTTTTTCTTTGGATCAAAACAATAAATCACTGTGAAGGGTCTGAACAGCTGCAGGAGGACTCTAAGCTCTCTCAGACTCGTACAGCTGTTGGTCTCATTCTGTGTTTTCAGACCGCAGCACCTGATGGGCCTCCAGCTGGTCTCAGATCTGTGTTCCGGCAGTCTGCAGGGGGCAAGCATTGGTTCCACCGACATCAGTCTGACTCCAGGAAAGATCCAGTCTGGGAACCACACGGCCGACACACAGACAGCAGGGTGAGTCTTTCAGCAGCTCCTGCATGCCGTGTTAAACCGTCACTCACACGGTTTGTATAATGTGTGTGTTTTCCTGCCAGGAGCGTGTGTTTGCTGCTCCAGGTGGCTCTGCCCTGCGCTCTGTATGCTGACGCTGCCTCACAGCTCTGTTTAAAAGGAGGAACCAACGCAGAGATGGCCCCTCAGATCGACTATACTGTCAAGGTAGGCTGTGTGCTCAATCTGCTGGAACCGCCTCATAGGACTGCTCAATATTGGGAAAAGCTAATATCCCCATAAGTAAGCAGTTAAGGGGCAAAATGTCTATGTGCTCTGGGTTCTTATCAAAAAAATAGAAACTAATACTTTATGAGATATTCTTCATCCATCTGCGCAGTAGTTACATGGAACAGTAATTCCATGATGGAGCTAGACATCTCAAAACCGAGCTGAAGCACGGAGTGGCTCTGATCAAGCAGTCGGGAAGACATGCAGCATCACACCCGCTGTATGCTGCACTGAAGGCTGTGTGTTGGGTTAGCTTTTAGAAACTCTTCGCACAGGTTTCTTGTGTTGTATTTAAGGTGGCTTTTAAGATTAGTCGCTTCCTCTCATAGTTGTTACAGGTGTTCGATGTGTCTCACAGAGTATGCATTTCTAGAAAGCCGTCTCCTCTGAAACATACCTCCAAAACATCTGTATATTTATTTTAAACCATGAGTTCTTCATAGCTATTAGTTACCTCCATTTGCCTGGCTCTCAGCCATTGCATCTCTCACTAAAATTCAGCTCAGATGTTTGCTATCCACCCGCATCGAGGCAGACTTTTATCGTGAAGAGATGCAGGAGCTCCAGTTTGTATTTATTTATTACTGTAAACTCAAAACTGGATCATTTTGCTCTACCTGATCAGCTTGATTCTTCTTCTTCCAGTAATTAGTTCTGTGTAGTAGTTTTACACAGAAAACTGCTGAAAACAGACCCAATGTGAGATGAAAGGAAATTTTTTCAAAAGTAAGACTTCAAAAAGTCTGAAAAAACTGTTGATCTCCTCCCAGAAGGTTAAGGTCTTTTAAAGACTTTTAGCAGGAATGCAGAACATCTGCATAACGATCTGTATCAGACCCACTGTTAAAACTAGGGAACACTGGTGCTAAAACTAGAGCTAATTCGGTAAGGAGGTGATTCAAATGAGATTAATCAGATTTTTTATTTGTATGAAAAAAAAAAATCCAAACTGACACAAAAAGCATTGACAGAGTAACCTGCAAGGGGTAATCCTGAGGACCTTATCATGATGAAGCTATCCACAGTAAGCGATCTGGGCACACTGGTTCCAGCTAAGGATTCAAACAATGTTTTTTATTTTTCTGCAGCATGAATTAACCTACCGTAGTTACCTTTTAGGACCTCTAGATAAGAACGCTTTTTGGAGTGCTTAAACATGATATTCACTGGTGGAAAAAAGGTTAGTTTCTGCTGCTTGATGATGGCTAATGGTTAGATTTAGTCAGACTGGATATGATGATTTTGTCCATCTTGAACAGAGCATTTATTCTATCTTTGAGTTCTATCTTTGTGGTTATAAAAAAATATGAATTGTCACATGAATTCACAAACTCTTGACAGAAGTCAACAGATGCATTAGCGTCATTAAGGAAATGTTTTGGACCAATGAAATGCACTGACATTTATGACGTCAATGCATCAACCAGATGCGGAAAGCTGAAGCAAAACAAACATGGCTGCACCTGTTATAGCTGGAATACCCTTTGTTTCTTTTTGAAAAAGGATGACATTTTTACTGTTGTGGATGGGAAAAATGTCCTGACCAGATTCGATTAGAATTTGATTTATCCCTTAACTCTGCAGGTTGTGAAAAAAATAAAGAATGTGATACGGTAAAAAACATCCTCTAACATCTAGATTTCTCCTTCAGGTATTTAAACCCATCGTAGAGAAGTTTGGAGTCCGCTTTGACTGCGACATCAAAATGAGGTTTGTTCACTGACATCTCTGTGCCTATGCCACTGTTTAGAGTGGGATCTTATGGTTCTGGTTGTGTTTCAGGGGTTACTACCCTAAAGGTGGAGGGGAGGTGATGGTGACAGTGAATCCGGTCAAAGAGCTGCAGCCCGTCACCATGACAGACAGAGGAAACATCACAAAGATCCACGGCAGAGCGTTCGTGGCCGGAGTCCTGCCCTACAAAGTAAAACTTGCTCACAAAAGCATTCTAAAATCTGTTTTATTTTCTTGTATCTTTGTCAAAAAATATATTTTGACAAAGCAACATTTTATCTTAAAAAAAATTTAAAGTTTAAACACTTTTTTCCTAAGTTGTCTTTGAGCAAGCTTTATATTACTTTTTCCCAGTTGGCCAAAGACATGTCGGCTGCAGCCGTTCGGACCATTAGGAAGGAAATCAAAGAACTTTACATCAACATCCAGCCGGTTCAGGAGAAGGACAAGGCCTACGGGAACGGGAATGGCATTATGTAAGCCCCTCCTATTTACAGATGCCACCAAACGGTCTGTCTGCGATATCTGTCTAGCTGCTGCTGATTAGTAATCTTTGTGTTTCAGAATCATAGCAGAATCGTCTACAGGGTGTCTGTTTGCGGGCTCGGCTCTGGGGAAGAAAGGTGAGGATGTCAGCTAACCAGCAGGTGGCAGCACCCCTCTGAGTCACATTGTTTTCAGGTTGCTGCAGATTAGATGTAGATGGATGCATTGCAAAACGCTCTCCTGTTGTTTATGGCAGCCTTTCAAGTTTTAGTCTTAGTGCTTATTAGTTATAGTCTAAAATAAATTCATTTGATATGCAGAAGTTTTAGTCTGCTTTAGAATAGTTTTTCCTGTCTGTTCTGTATCTTAACATAGAGTGCACTTCCTCATGAAAAAAGCTTAGTCTAGGAAAAGATTTTCTCATTATCATAGTTGAAGAAAACAACGCTGCTTTCTTGGTGTAGAAAGCTAGCCTCGTGAGACCATCCTGATCTCGCGAGCTTTCAAGGTTTCACTAGCAGATCAGTCTTGACTGCTTTCCGTTAAAGAAAATTTGGAGCCGTTCACCAAACGAACGTCCAATCAGCGTTGGCTTTGAGGCGGGTTGAGGTGTGACGCAACGAGAAGCCCGACAGTTCAGTCTAAAGAACATGGCGGCTTCAGCCGATGAAACTAGCGTTAGTGTGGCTATCAAGCAAGTTTTATCGGAATTACAGAGTATTTCTTCACTGAAAGAAGAGCAAAACACTGCTCTGGAGGCTTTGCTGAGCTAACAAGCCTTTACCTGCTGCAGCAAGAGTAGCCTGGCTTGTGGTTGTGTTTTCGTCGTCGCTCTGTTAGTACGTCATATGCTTCGTTGATCTGATTGGTTTATTTGGCCCGTCTATCACCAACATAGGCCAAACAACTAACCAGTATTTTCGCCCCTTCCCAAAATTACTCCAACGGAAGGTTTCCATCTGGCGGAGTCAGGTTAGTAGAAAGCTAACTTGGGGAAAACAAATATTTAATAACTATCTCCGGACAGGCGTGTAGCTTCAGCACAGTGGAGTCTGAGATGGTCCCTCATTCTAACTAGCAGACTGGTTGATCCAACAGAGGTGCTAATATGGCGAAATCTTATTATAAGCAATGGTTACCCTCAAAGAAAAGCATGCAGCCCATCAGACATTCTGACCAGAAGGACAGCAGAGAAGCTTCTTCTGTAAAACATCAAGAAGTTCTTGGGGAGACGGTGGAAATTTAGGGCGAAGCAACCGGATCTGATCCATCTAAGAGATCTGATATACAGGTGCTGGTCATAAAATTAGAATATCATGAAAAAGTAGATTGATTTCAGTAATTCCATTTAAAAAGTGAAACTTGTATATTATATTCATACATTACATACAAACTCATATATTTCAGATGTTTATTTTGTTTAATTTTGATGATTACAAATGACAACAAATGAAAATCTCAAATTCATCATATCAGAAAATTAGAATATTGTGAAAAGGTTCAAAATTGATGGCCCCTGGTGCCACACTCTAATCAGCTAATTAACTCAAACCACCTGCAAAAGCCTTTAAATGGTCTTTCAGTCTAGTTCTATAGGCTACACAATCATGGGGAAGACTGCTGACTTGACAGTTGTCCAAAAGACGACCATCGACACCTTGCACAAGGAGGGCAAGACACAAAAGGTCATCGCTAAAGAGGCTGGCTGTTCACAGAGCTCAGTGTCCAAGCACATTAATAGAGAGGCGAAGGGAAGGAAAAGATGTGGTCGAAAAAAGTGTACAAGCAAGAGAGATAACCGCACCCTGGAGAGGATTGTGAAACAAAACCCCTTCAAAAATGTGGGGGAGATTCACAAAGAGTGGACTGCAGCTGGAGTGAGTGCTTCAAGAACCACCACACACAGACGTATGAAAGACATGGGTTTCTGCTGTCGCATTCCTTGTGTCAAGCCACTCTTGAACCACAGACAGCGTCAGAAGCGTCTTGCCTGGGCTAAAGAGAAACAGGACTGGACTGCTGGTGAGTGGTCCAAAGTCATGTTCTCTGATGAAAGTAAATTTTGCATTTCCTTTGGAAATCAAGGTCCCAGAGTCTGGAGGAAAAGAAGAGAGGCACTTCATCCACGTTGCTTGAAGTCCAGTGTAAAGTTTCCACAGTCAGTGATGGTTTGGGGTGCCATGTCATCTGCTGGTGTTGGTCCATTGTGTTTTCTGAGGTCCAGGGTCAACGCAGCCACATACCAGGAAGTTTTAGAGCACTTCATGCTTCCTGCAGCTGACCAACTTTTTGGAGATGCAGATTTCATTTTCCAACAGGACTTGGCACCTGCACACAGTGCCAAAGCTACCAGTACCTGGTTGAAGGACCATGGTATCCCTGTTCTTAATTGGCCAGCAAACTCTCCTGACCTTAACCCCATAGAAAATCTATGGGGTATTGTGAAGAAGAAGATGCAATACACCAGACCCAACAATTCAGAAGAGCTAAAAGCCACTATTAGAGCAACCTGGGCTATCATAACACCTGAGCAGTGCCACAGACTGATCGACTCCATGCCACGCCGCATTGCTGCAGTAATACAGGCCAAAGGAGGCCCAACTAAATACTGAGTGCTGTACATGCTCATACTTTTCATGTTCATACTTTTCAGTTGGCCAACATTTCTATAAATCCTTTGTTTTTATTGGTCTTCAGTAATATTCTAATTTTCTGATATGATGAATTTGAGATTTTCATTTGTTGTCATTTGTAATCATCAAAATTAAACAAAATAAACATCTGAAATATATGAGTTTGTATGTAATGTATGAATATAATATACAAGTTTCACTTTTTAAATGGAATTACTGAAATCAATCTACTTTTTCATGATATTCTAATTTTATGACCAGCACCTGTAATTAGAGTGGGATCAAGACTACCTTCTGAAGATTTTAGTTTTTCACCTCACAGTACTCAATGGACCAACACAACCCAATGAGCTGTGGTTGAAGAGCACATAACCCTCTCTTCTATCCCTTTCAGGTGTTTACGCTGATAAAATCGGTATTGAAGCTGCTGAGATGTTACTGAGAAACATCAGACATAACGGCTGTGTGGACGAGTTCCTGCAGGACCAGGTGAGACACTAATGCACCCCGTGATGACGTTCCAGTGGTAATTTCTACCGCCTGAGTCCTCACCGAGTCTTCCTCCTCCTCAGCTCATCATCTTCATGGCGCTGGCGAAGGGGACGTCCCGGATCCGGACTGGAGCAGTAACACTACACACGCAGACGGCCATCCACATCGCAGAGCAGCTCACTCAGGTAAGAAGGCTTCAAAGTTAATGATTTAGAATTAGTAGAGTCAATAACTTTAAATTTGTGTCCGAACATTTTTGTTTGTTTTATATATATATTTTTTAAATCTTTTATTTTATTCTGCTTTTATTTTTCTTCTGTTTTAATGTTTAACTCATATGAAGCAGTAAACTCGCCCTGTGTTCGAATCTCTAAATGTCTCTGCTTCCTGTTGCCTTGAGCTTCTGTATTATTATTCATTTGAAAAATCGACATATTTAGGCTTTAATCTGGAACTTTTCTCATTCAAATCTTTTGTTTTCTATTATTTTTAGGCAAAGTTCACAATAACGAAGAGTGAAGACGAGCTGAGCAGCAATGTGACCTACATCATCGAGTGTCAAGGATCAGGGGTGGTTAACCCTCACCTGTAGCCACACACACACACACACACACACACACTGAAAACACACGCACTCTTCTGGACTCGTAGCTGCTCCTGTCATGGCTGACCCTCTTAGTTTTTATTGCTCAGGGTTTATTTTGTGTTTCCTTAAAATGCTGTAATAAGATAAATAAAATCTTTCAAACAAACTAAAGATGTTTTTTTTTTCTTTTCTTTTGGGTAATTTAAATAAAGCTCTGATTAGATTAGCCTTACATCTGTTTTTTGGCAGTTATTTGTTTAAGGTATGTTTTTGGATATGTCCAATTCTTGTACAGCTGAGCATTGTAGTCTGCTCAATATGGGGGTAGAAAAACCAAACAAAAAGGGGACCTTTTCCAGACTGCAGATGTTGGATCAGGACCAGTACTTCCTACGTCGCCCCGCCTTGTTTCCGTGGCGTCAGCAGTGTGGTGTCGTGTTGACTCTGAGCTCCTTAACCCACCTGCTGCAGGTGAGCTGCTTGGAGCCATGCTTTGACCAGAATGTGTGTCGAAACCTGAGGATGCTGTAAGCTCACACCTCTGTCCCCTCCGGAACCGTCTGTAACCCGATCCGGGTCACCTGACACCTGCCGCGCTCAGTGTCCTCGCAGTTCACTTGCTGTCTTGTAGCATGGCGGAGACGTGGCCCTGGAGGAGGCACTACGATGAACCCCGGATTCCCCAGCCTACGGCAGGACCTGGACCAGCTCCTGGTTTAGCACCGGCACCATACTGTGTCTGGATTTCACTGATTGCAGGCAAGTCATATTTTTTTCCCCCTTGCTGATAACTGCAAACCTTTGTGGATATTGAAACATTAAAACATGCAAATCAGAGATTTTGTTTCTGTCAAGATCAGCAAGTTTTTAATTTCATAATCAAATCTATTTAATTTCTATCAAACATGTTTGGGGTTTTTTTTTCTCCAAAAATGAAAGTTTTTTTATTTTATTTTTTTTTATCAAGAAGATGAATGCTGGAGCAGTCTGAACATCTCGGCTCTTATGATTTGTGCAATATCCTTCAGCTCCTCTCGATGTCCCTGTGAAAACCATCTGAGCTGAAGGACTGCTATTACAGAACAGCAGAAGCTGCAGACATTCAAATAAAGTAGCTTTCGATGGAGATAGATGAAAAGATCTTTTATGGCTTTATTACAGATGCATTTCTAAAATTTAGATCAAATATGTTTTGAAATCATGACCTACATAAAAATTATTTGGATCAAAATCACAATTCTATTTTTAAACCATATGGAAGGAACATATACTCAGACCATTCATACTTTATTTTTAGTCCAGTTTAAGAAGCATAAGGATATTTTATGGAATAATTTGGTCCTTAAAGCTTCACGTGCAGTTTATTATTAAATATTGTTAAAAAATGCATCTATCAGTAATAGAATTAGTAAAATAAGTCATCTACCGTTAATTACAGTTTTGTTGTTTTGTTGATGGTTGCTTGCAGCTAAGCTGAATTATTTAGTAAAACATTAAAAGATGTATTTTAATATAGAAATTTGGACCAAATGAAAATCTTGATGTCACTCAATGCTTGGTTGGATTTCCTGTTGCATGAATTACTGTATCAATGCAGGACTATGTGTACGTGCTGAGTCAAGTGGAAGCCCGGGTTGCTCTGTTAGCTCCCTTCAGGTTGTCTGCGTTGCTGTACCTGGTGTCTACCATCTTCCGTTGAACAATACTTAATTTCTTAAATAATTTCTCTATTGGGTTCAGGTCAGGCCAGATTCCTGGCCAATCGACACAGTACCACCACAGTCATTGGACCAGGATTAGATACATACTTTTGGCAGCATGGGCCAGAACCAAGTCCATCCATTTTCCATCACGCTTATCCCAAGCAGGGTTGTGAGGGATGCTGGTGCTCATCTCCAGCTGTTTATGGGTGTGAGGCAGAGTACACCCTGAATAGGTTCCAGAATCAATTACCTCAGACTTGATTTCCAAATGAAATGTAAAATTTTAAAATAAACTGCAGTATCCATAAGTGTATACCGTATGTAAAAAGGACTGGATTGTCAAGCTGCATTTTCTGCTTCTTTTCCCCCTTTAGCCAATGAATTATGTTATTGGTGCTGTCTTAGGAGTAGCTAAACACCGTTAGGGTGACAATTGTGACCTATATGGATATATCTAAAGGGTTTGGGTTTTTAAGCTCTGACTTTAGCTGCATTCTTTGCTTCATAGATCCTACAACCTTTGGTTATCCCTGGTAATTTTTATTTATGTTTGTGTACAGCCCCATGTCAAAAGCCAGCTTTTATTACTTATGCTACCTTTTGGGAGTTTTAGCTGTCTGTTGGAAAAATGTTAAATCAGTTGTCTTCACTATGAAAGCATACCATTTAGGCTTTTATGAATAAATTTTTGTGGGTTGGATACAATGTTTTAATTTTCCTGAGAGTTGAATTTTGGGTTTTTATTTGCTACGGGGTAAGCTGCTGCCCTAATCCTTAAAATGGACATAAATTCCTTAAAATTATAGTGTTTGCAAGTTATCTATACTTTGATAAAGTAGTGAAAAAATAACCTTTTGTGGATATAATCTGAGATTTCCCTTTATAAAATGACACTTTGTTATGCTGAAAATTGTAACAATATTACAGAACGTAAGTGAATTATTTGTTGGAATGCTTGGAGTTTTTTTTTTTTTTTTTTTTTTCTCTTTAGTGATAAATTCCAACAGAGCTAGTGGTTTATAACATAGAATAGAATGAAAAATCCCTTTATTCCATAAAAATTATTCAAAAAATATCCACTGGACTTGGTTTCCAAGATTTGAAGACGTCTCAATTCAAATGTCTGGATCCGCAGTGAGTTCAAACTCACTGCGGATTTAAGTTTTTACGGAATGATTATGACCTGGATGACTGAGAACCTTCATCAGCAAAATCCCTTTATTGTCCTACAATGGGCAACAAACACTGGCACTCCATAGGCCTACATATGGTTTACTTAAAATAAAAGCTTCAGTTCAGAACTGTACAAATTAATGAACTCATTAGTTTGTTGTTAAAAAAAGTATATTTTAATAAAACTGGTTTCATTTGCTTTAAAATCTTTTAGTTTAGGGATTCCTGTTTTTCATTCGTTGACTGTTTCCCAATGGACCCTGAACGCGGCACAAAGTGTTCTGTTCACTGATTGGCTACGGGTTCCCTTAGAGCTGCTATCGTTGTTATGGTAACGTGACTTAAGGAGGGATTTAGTCAATCAGAGTTTCAGACTCTTCAAGCTTTCGGAGCTCTAACTAGCTAATATGCTAACCCGCGAACATTCATCTGATTAATGGAGGAGAAACAAAACAAAACTAACAATGGAAATAAACCCGCAACGAGTAAGAAGACGCTACAATAAGTGATGGGCAACCGAGAAGGAAGGTTTTCAACTTTTTAGTCTGTGTCCCAACCGCTCTTAGCCACGCAAGGGCTAACGAGCTGCTAGCAGTTTAAAAAGTTTCTGAAGCTGTCCAGGAGTTAGACGGAACCCTTTCTGGAGCTTTTGACGAGACCCAAACAAGTGCGGGATTTAAGACTTGACCCAAGACCGTGAAGGGTGTGAAGCACTCTGGTACCGTCTGCCCTGTTCGGGATGGCGGAAGAGGCCGAGTCCAAGGAAGCGGCAGAGTTTATTAAAGGTAACTATTATGTTTAGAAACATAAAAATAAATAAAGGTTAGATTTAACAGAACTTGATGACAAAGATTAAAATAGAATAAACCTTATTTTGAGAAACTTTAAATATTGTTTGCAACGTTTTGAAGTTGTCGTATCGAACTAAACATTTGATTTAAAAATTTTAACATGCTTTATATAATATCAATTTTAATATTTTTATTTTTTTGTTGACTTCTACTTTTTAATTATATTGATAGTATATATGTTTTAAAGATCTGAGGAAATTAAACCATTATAAGTAACTTTAGATCAGGTGGATGTTCTTCTGTCAGCTTTCAGAGTTCTTGTTTAATATCTTTTAACATTTCTGTCTCTGGTTAGTTATAATAGGAACTTTTTACTGCCAGTTTTCACCACTGAAAGATGTAGAAAACCTGAACTATGGTGATTAGTTTGATTTAATTAACAACGAACAGGATTTTATTAAATTTATAGAACCAAGGTGGTATAAGAACTTCTACAATACTTAAAATCTGCTAATGCTGCTTTTAGTAATATATTTTTTTTACGTGGTATTCTTTTTTTTTTGTCTTATTTGATTCCATAATCTGAATGCATTGAAATTAAATAGCTGTTTAATCAAATTGTATTTTATTCATTAAAAGAAAGATAGAATTAAACAGATCGACATGCAAAACACTTTTTTAGAATAGAAAATAGAATGGAAAATCCCTTTATTGTCCCACAATGGAGAAATTATGGTGTCACAGCAGCAACAAAAATTATCGCAAAAGTGGTCACACAAATGTGGACCGTAAAAACGTGGATAAAAATGATAAGTGACAGAGTTAAAAAATATAGAGGTAATTTCTCCAATGTGAGATCAATAAAGTTCAGTTTATATTATTATTATTATGAGTTGAGCCATGATCCAATATATGTTTCTAAGCTGTAAGATTTTTTTTTCTGTTTAATTTTTAAGCTTTTTCTTGGTTTTTCAGTCAAAAACTAGCTTTTATCTCCATCATCCCCTCTGCAAAGTGAACTTTATTTAAAGAACAACGAAAGCTAAGCTTTGAAAAATGCTGTAAAATAATCATGTTTCACTGCAAACAATAAAAATATAACATTTTCAAAGCAAGCAGCTGATGGCATCCATAAATATGAATTAATCAATCCTACTTTATATGTATAATGGATATACAAAATAAATCGTATTTTGGCCTAATACTGAACCCTATGGGACACCACAAATAACTTCTAACATTTAGATCTAGTTTTCTCTATTTGTACAAACACAGCCTCCTCTCGAATGTCATACTTTTTCAAACATCTAACTGGGAAATCATGATTGAATACAGTAAATGCTGTCTTAGAATATATTAATATACTCATTATTTATTTTAGGAGGGCATAAATATTGCAAATTTATAGTAAATGTTCATTTATTAAGTTTATTATACGACTATCAAGTATTCAGCCTGTAGTACACTTGGTGACATTTTTGTCTAATACAGCATAGAAGTGA